AGCCAAAGTGGAGCACGCGAACTTAACCACTACTCCACTGGACCAGACATTTTAAGAGACAAGATTTCTGATTTCATTGGGAGTCAGATTGGATGATTCAGAGAAAACATTACTCTGGATATCTTTCTTTGAACTTATCTTTTCTGATCTAGTGAAAGGAGGTGTCAGCCCAGGCCAAATGTTATTTTGTTAGTATTAGGATCAAAATCAGAGCAGGGGTAGTCATAGTTTCCATTTATCTTTGGGACTGAATCTGGGCAGAAAAGAGTGTTTGTGACACTGAAGCACCTAGTTGGGAATACCCACCCATCTAAATATACCACTGCTTTCTTAAGTCCACTGTGTAATTTTCAAGTGAGACTGAGTGAAAGGACCTCAATTACAATTTCAAAAGTGCAGTGCAAACACTTCCTAAGGTGTTTGTTAGAATGCATCTTCCTAAGCTACATGACAGATCTGTTTAACCAGAATCAATGGCGTTAAGACCCAAGAATCTGCATATTTAAAAAGGATTGCTGGTTTTGCCGTACTTCCTAAAGTTTGTGAACACCTGCCTAAATGTTTGTTCTGGCATGCTTTTAAGAAGAGTTTTTCGAACGTCCCCCTCCTTTCTTTAAGAAATTATTACTTTCCTTAGTTCCCAATTTTTATGAAGGTGTTATGTTCTCCTTCTATATTGTGATCATCTTGAAATCAATGTAGACTGATGCTGACTTCCCACCTGATGTGTTGAGTAGTGATAATGCTGTTGATAATGATTATGAATACTCTATGTAAAATTTTATACGAAAGCTTTTTCTTTTTTCTTTTTTCCTGGAGCTTTTTTCTATAAGGAGCTGGAGATGAAGTTAAAGATCAAGTATGACAACTTGACAAACGAGAAATTGAAAATATTGTTGCTAATAAAAATAAACATATTGAAATAATCATTAGGAGAAATTGTTTATAGGACAGCACTATTTTTGTCACTACGTTAAGAACCAGTTCATTTTTTAATAGATCTTCATCTTTTCTCTTTTAAATAAGGTAGCTAAACTCCACAAACTTAGAACTTGAATCCAAAGTTAGCATAGCTCTGTGAATGAACATCTGTTGAGGAGAAGTCAGCTACCTTTGAGAAAGTAAACATTATATTTGAATTTGGACAAACTAATGTGAATTCCCAATACTGTCAAGCTTAACTACAGATAGCTTAGATTCTTTTGAGATTACTTCTATCTATAGGTTCTGAGGACTTTCTTTGAACCAAGAAACATGGATAAAGGAAGAGAAAGTGAGGGGGAGAAACAGTCATATCCTTTGTGGCTTGAGTATAAAATATTGAAGCGTTAATGAGAAGGCATTTATCTCAGTATTGGTAGGTGACAATTCATCTTGAAGTAAATCTTGCAAGTTTTGTTTCTCCACTCTTCATAACAGATCTGATAGCAAAAAATTCTTTTAATTATCATCATTGATTAGTTCTGGGGCCAAAAGAAATGGAAGTACCTGGCCATTGTCCATTGTTTCCCAAACTCGCGTACCTTCAATCAGCTGGGGTACATGTTAAAAATAGATTTCTAGTTTGCTCCCCTTCAGGTTCTGATTGGCCCATGATGGGACTTCAGGGAATCTGGATTTTTCTCTTAGTTAAGTCATTCTTACGATCAGGTAACTTTGGAAACATTGCTCTATTCTACTTTCTTCCTTGTCGAAATTGTCCTTTTTTTAAAAAAAATGTAGGATTACACTTCGAAATTGCCTAATTCTTATAATTCTCATTTCAGCTTTCTCCTTCTTCAATTTATTGAGCTAGTTTGCTGTGAATGTAAATCAGGAGGTCTGGTTCTATTCCCGTTTCTGCCACTTAACACAGAGAAAGGCAAATCATATAATTGGCTTTGATTTCCTTCGTCTTATTCCTCAAACATTTCTTTATTGTCTCTTATATGCTGGACATTTATCAAAGGAAGGAACCAGGGCAGATGATCTCAGATTCTTTTCAGCTCAAAGATTATATTTATAAAACTTACTTTTTTTTATCCTTAGAGTCAGTTCTTAAGATATTATGGACTTCAGCGTTTCTTTTATATTGGCAGGATGTGCCATAACACACTCTTGGCTTTTGACCTGCAATTTATTTCAATTATTCTTACGTCTAAATAGTCCAGTAACCTTGAGTGGAATTACTCCTATACATAGGTTATCTTTTGGACTGCAAATGCTTTGTATATCACATAATCCCTGGCTGGATACACTAGTTTTAAGATATCAATATTTTGGTAAAATGTTCTTTAGCAGCTGGAAGGATCCTTCGGTATGATCCAGTTTCTGTCAGTGACAAAATAAAGGGTAGAACCTGGATTCACAGAATTTCACAGCCCCACCTTTGTTGTGCAGTAATTTTATTATTTAAAATAAAAGCAACTTAGTCTCAAGATTTGGCCATGTTGGAAGTGACAATAAAGAAATAATCAATAGACTGCATCTTCAGAAGTTTTCTTTATAAGAAGCAATCTTCTGATGTGTTTATGAGCAAGAAAATAAATGCTTTTTGATCACCAAATTTGATTTTTTTATTTCACAATCTTCCCAATTCAACGTTTTACAGGATGTTTTTTGAGAGTCTTCTCTGTGCCAAAGGTATTGGGATGCAAGAGAGCAAAGCACAGATAACCCCCTCAAACCCCATTCTTACAGGGCTTGCACTCTGCTGGGGAAGTCAGGCAATGAAACAAAAATGAAGGAAACTATGCAGTGTGTTAGAAATGATATAGTGTGTTAGACAGAAGTGAGCAGAAGAGGTGGGTGGGGAGTGCTTGGAGGTAGTTAGGTGAGGTGCTAGTGGCAGTGGATGGTCTCACTGAGAAAATCTCTTCAGTAAAGACTGAAGGAGGTGAGGGTTTGAGCTACAAGCGCTGTCTGTGGGCATGTACAGGGTTTGAGGTCAGAGAACTAATGGGTCAGATCATGTAGGATATTGTAGGCCACTGTAAGGATTCCAGCATTTATGCTGAGGGACATGGAAACCCGCTGGAGGGTTTAGTGCAGCTCCCACTAAAGCTTGCTAGTCCGTTAATAAGGTCGCTGAGGCTATCCTATTACCTGGTCCTCCAGGGTTTCTTTGCCCCAGCCTCTGCCCTGCATGACCCTGTTGTGCCTTTGGGTAAAATGTGATGCTGGCTAATGACAAAACTTTACAGGATGGTTTCAGCCATGTCATGATGATGAAGTGAAGTGACAGTGGTAAAAGTTGTGACGTTACTAAATCAGAGATTTTCCCTTAGCATAAATAACCGATAAGGCCTTATACACATATATGTATGTAGATGGTTCCTGACTTAACAGTGGTTTGACTTATGATTTTTTGACTTTACGATGGTGCTAAAGCGATATGCATTCAGTGGAAACCGTACTTCGAATTTTGAATTTTGATCCTTTCCCAGGGAGGGGACAGGCGCGAGATACTTTCTTGTGATGCTGGGCCCCAGTGGCTCCCAGTCAGCCATGTGATCAAGCCGGTGAAAAACATACACTACAACCATTCCGCACCTATACAACCGTGCTGTTTCTCAATTTCAGTACAGTATTCCATAACTTCCATGAGGTTTTCAACACTCTGTTATAAATACGCTTTGTGTTAGATGCTTTTGCCCAACTGTAGGCTAAAGTAGGCACTCTGAGCACGTTTAAAGTAGGCGAGGCTGAGCTATGGTGTTTAGTAGGTTAAGTGTAACTAAATGCATTTTCGACTTACCACATTTTCAATTTGAGGTGAGTTTATGGGGACGTAACCCCAGTATAAATGGAGGAAGATCTGTCTTTATATATCTTTGAATTTATTTTTATTTTGATGGCTCTATTAGGTTGCCACAAATAAAGATGCATATTTTTGTACTTATGTTTTGCTTGTATTTGGTTGTATTTTTGATTAGGAAATGAGAAGATAAAAAAAGAAATGAAAGTTTAAGCTAAACCTACAGTTTAATTAAATAAAAACATTCACTTGCATTGTATATTTTAAATAAATATTTGAACATTTTAGTGACTACTGGATTGAGTTTTGAATGTTTTTACTATGTGATGTTAATAATGATAGATAATTCAATCAGACTGATTCAGAGAATTTTTAATCTTAAATACTAGCAGAAATTTAAGAAGATATTTTATTGCATCTATGATATTCAAGCTAAGGATAAAAACATTCAATTGGAATTGAAGTTTTTCTGTTATTTTTAAAAATATTGTAACTACAACTTAACTCCTTAGTAAGCATTTGCCAAAGCATATTAAATTTAACATAAGCTACTGGATCTATTTAAAAATCTGTAGAGTAATAAAACTTTAATATATTTTCCAACATGAAAAGCAAAATCTTATTTCTACACAAAGTTTAATAAAAAGGAGTCTTAGATTGTACAGAATGAAATAATTTCATTACCCCATTTCTTTCATTTTTACTAGGAAAATCTTATATAGGTTTGAATAATGACATTTAATTAGGAAAAAAAATATTCTTTGTGAAACCATGTCTTTATTTATGAACCATTCTCTGCACTAAAACATATAATAAGGTATATGATGCTATTTTTAAATTAAAGCAAACATCCAGAGAAACTTAGAAAGTTTCTAGGCTTCATTTCCATTGTTTGGCTTTACAGAAAAATAGCTTTTCTTTCATCTTTTTTTTCCTATTGACATTAACCCCTCTTGTTTTCAGCTTAAATGTTTTCATCCATTTGGATACCAAAACTAGATATAGGGCATATCAATTAGCAGAGCTCATCAGTAAGGTAAACTGAGTAAACTGTGTATACATAGACACAGTCATTTTCTAGGAATGCATCTTGTTCCACAAATATTGTCTGATCCCACCATATGTTGTTTTAAACGCAAAGCACATTTTCCTGTCTGATATTTCCTAATCTTTCTACAACAAAGTCAAATGCTTCCAATTTTTATAGACTTCAGAGAATCTTGTTCAGAAACACCCAGTAATCTATTTTTACGTTATTTTGCAGTACAGCAAGATTACCTCACCATCGTTAACAGATGTTCTCATCTTCCCAACAGTTTGCTGTATGTCATCAGACACAAAGATGCAAAGAAATGTAGTAAGAAACGTATACTTTTTTTCTCTTGTAACATTTATCACAATCAATATCGTATTGGAGCAATGCTAATACAACTGTGGTCCTTTGAGGCTGGACGTGTTTGCAGTTTAGCAGTGGTGCTCTGAGCCAGGGCCAGGATATATTCATGGAAACACTTAACGATAATATTGCTTCAGTAGAGGCAGTAACGGTATAAACAGGGAGAAGGAAATACCAGGATTGCAACAGATGCAATTGATTATATGCCTTGGGGAATATTCCACTCATTTATTTTAAGTCCAGTCCATGTAAATCAAAAGACCATGATGTTGTCAGTAAGACATATCACAGATATCGTAATGTGCTATGACAGGGCTCCTGCTTTACTGACACAGCACATCATGCCTTTGGACACAGGAAGCCATTGGAAGCATAGCTCTTGCACTGTCAACCCGAGAAAATAATCTGACTTAAGCATCTGAATCACTACAAACTGTGATATGGCTTGTTCCAAAAACAAAAGGTAATAGGGCCGCTTTAGGTAAAGCTAACTTATACATTTGAACTTGGTCTTAAATCTCTCACTAAGGAAACTTCATAATTTTCAATAATACTTATAGTTGTCAATCTAAACTAGAGTAGTACATTTTAGGCACCAAAATAGGCAACTCTGGAAAATAACTCTAAAATCAGAATTTCAAATGACATATTCTTCTGGAAAGATGTTTTGAGAAGTCTCTTCATGAAAACCAAGTATCTTTTCCTTGTTCCTTTCCAGTCATTAATTAGTTATTTTCAGTGTTAAAATTTTCTCTTCCTCTGCCAGAGTTATAGCCTTGTACCAGAGTAGGAAAGCTATGCAACATTTCTCTAAAAGATGCAGGGATCACACAGAGATTAGGAAAAATAATTTGCATTTCTTTTATCTCTTAGTGATTGAAAAATCCAGCATATCCCAGATTCACCTTGAAAGCATGAGAATGGCCAAGTTGTTCTTTGAAAGCTGAGGCTTACGAGAGATTGCTAAGCATTTTAATAGAGGAAGGAATTGGAAGTCTTATAATTAATGCTAATGTATGGCCTCACTCCTATGAAATTGCACATTGCATGCACATTAATTACAATTAGCATTCCTTCAATGAATAGCAAAGGAAATCATAATGATTTGTTACTTATTATACAATGCTATCACACAGTGTTTTGTAAAGAATGGGCTTAACTTGCTCAATAGATAATAAAAGGATGTTAAATTCCAGTATTATGACTCCTTTCACTAGATAGTTCATAAAATAAGCAAGCAGCGAACGACTTAGCTTCAACTCCGCTCCTTGAAAAAAAGTCACAGTGTAGGAATTTAACTTGTGACTTTGAAAAGAAACCTATTATTTTCTTTAAAGCGGAAAGTAGAATGCAATCATATTTTTATTGTTACTCGTGCTACATTTGATCTGAAGACACAACATAAGCTCTCATTCAGTCTTGCAACAACTTGGGAATCGTGGAGATAAAAGTTTGGAACTTTTTGCCTATGTTACTAATATATTTACTTCTGCTCATATGCAACCATATTGATATTTATATTATATTTTTATCAGTTATGAGTCATCGTCTATAAATTCAGACAGGCAAGAAATGTCATACACCTATCCCCACACACATATACTCACCCACACATGATTATATCAGACCTGGAACTTATAGGAAATAAAATTCCAGTCATTTGATTACTGGGGGCACCCGCCTTCTTGGTGTTGTACAAAAACCTGGCGAAACGAAGATAGCCTTCTAACCTTCCATCTATCAGTGTAGCTGCTGATATACTCTTTGTTAAAGCTTGGAGGTTAATTATTTCTGTTGCTTTTATCCCAAATATGGGCATGGGCATCTTTTCGAAGTCCATAATTCCGTGTGATGGGTCCAACCTCTCCGAATGCAGCCCACAGCTGAAATCCTGCCACATAATGGGGTGCTGCTGGGGACTGTAAATGTGTTCCCACTATTCTCAGGATCCAGAGATTTTCAACACCCTTAGTGCTGAGGACTCTCAGCATTTGCCCTCTTATTTTGCTTGTCCCTGCCCCTGTCAAAAGTATTCTTCTTCCTCTTTACTCTCTCATTATCTTCTCATCCTTGAAATCTGGTTTTCAAAACACAAAAGCCGAGAAGGGAATCTGCAATCAATTAATGCTTTGAGTTCTGCAACCAAAGCCTCTTCTGAGATAAAGAGGCAAAAAGACCTGGATGTCTTCTGGGAATGTGAGGATGGAAAAATACAGTGAGAATAGAACATGAATTAATAGCTCAATAAATTACCTTGATTCTTTGCTTGAAAATTCCACCTGGAATAGTTAATGTATCAGTACTCATAGTTCATTTTGGAATTATACATTCAAAAGAAGAAGTGCAATACATACAAAGGGGAAAATGTGTGTTGGTTCAATCATTTCCAATCCAGAGATTTTGTGTCTGATTCATAGAGAAACCTCAGCAGGCATGTGATCCACACAGGAGGTGTAGTTGTGCTGTTTCTAGTACATACGTGAGTATTTCCAGAAAAACTGTACCTTTCAAAATCCTAAATTTATCAGTGAGTTCGTGGCTACTGAAGCACGTATTATGAAATCTGGTAAATAGTCCACCATCCAACTTCCATTGTATTCAGACATCTGTTAAAAAATTCTTCCTTTGAGACAAATTTGGTTTCACAGAGTATGTAAAACTTAGTTGCCAGTTTGATCTGACTTCACTTATACTGCCGTTCCCTAATGTGGCCACATTTTCACTCCTTAAAATAAAAATATTCAAAGCACCAGATTGAGACTGCACAAAGGGGGTTGGAATAAATGACTGCCTGAGGGTGTTGTCAGTTCAGCAGAGGTGTGGTAGCAGTGATGCTAATAGCTAACATGTATGTGGTGCTTGCTAGGTCTCAGGATGGTTTTAACGACTTTGTAAGTGTTAACTATTTCAGTCCTCCTACAACTCAGTGAGGCTGCTTCTGTTATTATTATCCCCACTTGACAGGTAAGAGAACTGAGGCAGAGACTCTCAGTGTTTGTCCAAGTTCATATTGCTGATCGGAAGCTGATTGGGATTTGAGCCCCAAAGATTGACTCCTCTTAACCACTGCACTTAACACCATATTTCATAGGATGGAAGGAGGACACCATCACCTTCGTTTCCACCTTTCCCCAGCCCAACTCATATAAAATATAAATTTCTGCTTTAAAAACAATAAATTAGTAAGTTTATGCTTATCAAAGAAAATAGTATGTAAAAGTATATAAAATAATAATTTCCACTTGGTGCTTATATATAATATATATATTTAATATTTAGCATCTAGTTGTGTTGTGTAAAATTAAACTCATAAGTAAGTACAATGTTGAGGTCCATTTTTCATTTAACTTTTTATCATGAGAGCTCAATATGTTGTATTAAGGACTTGAGAAGTCCTTAAAGTATAAGCTTATGCTATAAAATATATTTACATGAAGTTTTAGATTGTTCCCATATTTTCAAAATTCTAAAGATGGTGAAAACATTCTTATGCTCATTTCCTTAAAACACACTGTCCAAAGGGAATCTATGGGATAAATCCTATAAACATATAAAAGGTCTTGCAACACTTTGCCAGATTGTCTCGGCAACCTGGTGAGCTCTATTCCCACAAATAGTGCACTGGTGTCCTGCACCGTAAGCTCAACAGCACTGGATATTGCCTTCGCATTTCTTTGTTCCTAGTGAGGGAAAAAAATTTATTATATGTTACAGAGTTGTTTTAATTTCTTCTGTGAACCTCTATTTTCCTTGGCATAGGAGGTAAACATATTTTTCTTGTTGTTTTCCAAGTATGATTTCCACGGTAAGAATAAGCAACCTTTGATTTTCCCATATGTTATGAATATTTTTTCCTAGTTTGTTGTTTGTCTTTATTTTGCTTAACATGATTTTTAAATAGAAGTTTAAAAATATAGTTTAAATACATTGAAATTTGCCTTTGTAGTTGCTTCCTTTATTTTTGTGTTGAGAATAGCTACTCTCGTTTTAATGCTGGAGAAATAATCAACTTACTGTCTTCTCTGGTTGTTTTTGTTTTAATCTTTTAATTTTTTCATGGTGTAACCGATCTGGAACTTATTTTGGCAAAAATTAATACTGAACTAATTTGCATATAATGACATCCTAATACTATCAAAATTTCTAATTGGTTTATCAGTGCTTTCTTTTGTTTCTTAATGTTTTAATAGTTTTCTTAATATGAAGTCTACAATTTCATTTCAATTTTGTCTTAAAATATTATGTGTCTTGGATGCTGTTTTGAATGAAATCTATTGATTTTCCAACTTTTTAAATTCTAGAATATAAGTAAGATATGAATTCTGTACATATACATGTATGTTACATATTGCATATATATCATATATAGACACATATATATGTAATTGGTTAGCTTATTGAAATATCTAACCAATTTTAATAGTTTTTCATTCTACTGTTGCGTGTTATACCAAAGCTATAGGTTATACAAAAGCATGGTCATAACCATCTGAAAAACTGATTTTATCTTCTTCCTTTCTAAACGTTACATGTCATTGTTTTGTTTAATAGCATACATAGAACTTCTGGAACAATATTAAATAGTAATAAAATAGATATCATTTTCTTATTTCACATTTTAACTGTTCACTTTTAAAGTAGAATATTGGCTGCCATTGAGATGATGTACTCAGAAATATTTATTAGGCACCTAATATGGGCCAGATACTCTTGGAGAGTCTAGAGAAATAGGCAGAGAATAAATAAGATAAATAAGTAGATTTATTGTTAGTCAATGATAAATGCTAAGGATGAAAAGTTACCTAGGCAATAGAGTTAGGCATTTGGGTGGTTTGATTTTACATAGGATGGCCAGGGAAGAACTCACTGAGAATACAACTTTTGAGTAAAGACCTGAACAATGTCAAGGAGCAAGTCATGTTGATATCTGGGTAAAGATTATTCCTGGCAGAGGACACAGT